CCCTTGCTACATCTGAACCGCCAGCAGCGAGCCTTTCGATGACAGTGGCTGACATGGTCGATGGCTCCGGAGAGTGGAAATGGGCCTGGTTCCAACATCTTCTTCCGACGGCGGTCCTCCTTCGCGTCGCCGCTACGCTTCCTCCATGTGCGTCAGCTGGTGTGGATCGGTTGCTATGGGGCTTCTCCACCGATGGTCGTTTTACCACAAAGTCCGCATATGACTCTCTTTGTCAGCCTGCGAATGGACCCACGACCGCCATCTGGAAACTCATTTGGCGAGTGTCGGCCCCACAGCGGGTCTGGAACTTTCTGTGGCTCGCTTGCAACGACCGATTACTTACAAATGTGGAGAGAACGCGTCGTCACCTCTCCAGTTCTGAGGACTGTGACATTTGTGGCCGCCGTGAAACGGTTCTTCATGTTGTTCGTGACTGCCCATACGTGAGACCTGTGTGGTGCCGCCTGCTCCCACCAGAGTGTGTGACTGAGTTTTTTGGACAACATTTGAGGCCGTGGTTCACGCGTAATCTAGCCCAGGCCAGTTTGGGTTCTCAAGAGAACTGGAGTAGCCTCTTCGCCATTGTGGTGTGGCGAGCTTGGGCTTGGCGCAACGATCGGATCTTTAATGCTTTTTCTGCGGGCTGCGAGGTAAGGATAAGGGAAGTAATGGACCGCCTACAGCATTATACCCTCTCAGCTCGGGGCTTTGCTAAGGTTGGAGCTGAATTAGATCGCTTTGAGTCCAGATTAATTTATTGGTCCCCGCCGGATCATGGTTGGTGCAAAGTAAACACCGATGGCGCGTTTGACAAGATGACTGGCCTTAGTAGTGCGGGTGGGGTTATTCGAGATGAGATGGGTGGATGGGTTAAGGGCTTTCTTATGAACATTGGTTACTGTACTATCACCGGCGCTGAGCTATGGGGTCTTTTTCAAGGTTTGCAATTAGCGTGGGATATGGGGCTTCGTCGAGTTATCGTGGAAATTGATAGCCAGTGTGTGCTAAAAATGATAAGTGGTCCGGACGGTACCTTTGGGGTCCATGACTCTTTAGTCCATGCCACTCGACATCTAATCAATCGGGAGTGGCTTATCCGGATCCGACATGTGCATAGAGAGGCCAATTTTGCGGCCGACCATTTGGTGGGATTAGCGTCGTCTTACCCGATTGGCTTTCATGAACTATCTGATCCTCCACTGAGTTTGGGCGAGTGGCTTGAGCATGACATTATCGGGGTCTCGTATCCCCGTCGAGTTCTAGTTTAGCTTCTAGGCCTCTGGCCTCCTTCTTTGTGCCAAAAAAAAAATATCATATATATATACTTATGTTTGTGTTAGTTTTTCACATGTAGTATGAAAAGAATGCATTTTCAAATACCATTAGATTGACTCAAAAATAAACGTTAACCATTAGATTCAAGGTGCGAGGAAGTACGAGACAGAAAAGAATTTTGGTTGTCTCGTACTTGCTAAAAATCTATTATATCCTTAATTCATTAAAAAATACAATTTAAATTAATAAATTATAAAATAATAATTGTATTTATTCAAAGACCATATATTTATCTTTTTTATATTACAATTCTTTAAATACAAAAATATATCTTCATAACTTTAACATTTATCATATACTTTAAGAATAATTTTTTCTTGTTCTTCAAATTGTTATTCACAACATTCTTCTCTTGCCCCTCCAAATGTTGATTCTACATCGGCATCTTCTTGAAAAGGGTTAGCCTCTCTTTCCCTCCCACGATCCCAACTGACGCCTCTGTTATTCCATCTGTCACTGTGGCCACCACGAACCACGCCACCGACACCTCCATTTCTATCTTTCCAAACACCCACAAGATGAAAAACACTACTGAGAGATGGTCCACCCGGTCCATAAGGGTCATTTCGGTATGTGGCTCCAGCATAGGAAAGAGGAGTTGGTGATGGGTCGCCGAAGGAGGCTTGTTCTTCAGATGGGTTGGGACATGAGTTGATGATCTGGAAGCACGAACGTTGGCCCCGGTGCCATCACCGGTCGGAGCCTTGTCAATTACATCCGACCAAGAAGCAGACATACTAGAAAAATAATAGAAAAAATTAGGCACTCTTCTCCTCAGTCGAAATTTCCTTAAAAAATCCAAAGGAAATATCGATTTCGGTTAGGCCTGGGACTGGTCCGGTTCTTATCATTTTTTTAAGGAATTGGAACCGAAACCGAACAAAAAAAAATGGTTCGGTTAACACATAAAAAATTGCAGGAACCGAAAAAAAGCGAACCAATTTATAACGGTTTGGTTTTTCTGGTTATTCGGGTAACCGAATAATAAAAAATAACCTACAATAACCAGTTTTTAGTTAAGAACCGGTCCAAAAAATGCAACTCACGGAGTAAAAATATCATAAAAAACCGAGAACCGAATGCAAAAATGAAGAACTGAATATTAAGTACAAGAACCGGAACCGATTCATACACATAAACATATAAAACATGCATATTTTTACATATATAATCGGTTCCTTGGTTAATATGCATACATTTCGAAAGGAACCGGGAACCGGAACCGAAAAATGCAAAAAATAACTGAAAACCAAAAAAATAGTTTTTTTGTTATTAAATAATCGGACCGGACTGGTTTTTTCGGTTTTGTCCGGTTTGGTTCTCCGATTCTTTGGTATAAAATCCCACCCCTAATTTCGGTCACCTGACCGCAAACCATCGTCGCGACTCCTACCGATTCTATGTATTGGTGTCATATTTGCCCGACCAAAAATCCGAATTAGGGTTTGACAAATTGTATTTGTCGTACAAGTGTAGACATCGGCGTCAAGATAAAAAATTAAAATTGAGTCAGATAAATTAAAATAGAATTTAGAAAATTTTATGGTTTATTTGAAATATATAATTATTTAGGTTTAATGTTAGAACGTGAATAGTTAAATAGTTTTCAAGTAAATTAATTAAAGTTTGTAATGTTATTTTCTTGAACTTTTTAAGTAAGGGCATTTTAGGATTTACAGACAATAATTTTGGAATTTTTATGCAATTAATTATGAAAAATGACACTTTGACATCAATTGAAAGGATACCTATTATTATGTAGGTACACGAGCTTTATCATGAATATTGGTTCTTGCACCATCACATGAGCCGAGCTATGAGGTCTTTTCCAGGGGCTTTTACTGGCTTGGGATTCGGGATTTCGACGAATTATCGTTGAACTTGATAGTCAATGTGTCAACGAGGATGGTGATGAATGAGGATGGTGGATTGGGGGCGCATGAGGCTATCCAAGACCTATTGAAGCGGGAGTGGACCATACGTGTGCAACATGTCCATAGAGAAGCGAATTTCGCAGCTGATCATTTGGCGAGTTTGGCGGTATCTTATCCGCTTGGATTGCACCGTTTCTCCTCACCGCCTCCTGGAGTTCGTGCATGGCTTGAGCATGATAATGTTGGGGTCTCATACCCACGTCGAGTACTAGACTAGTTTCTTTGAATATCTTTGCACCAAAAAAGAAAAATTATTATGTAGGTACAAGGCAAATATGTACTTGAGGAAGAATCACCCAACTAACAAACCAAATGTATTTCAATTAAGTATCATAGTTCTTAAATTAATTCAACACATATCTCATAGTATATCATCATTACTTATCTCAATGTAAACTTCAACTGATCAGAAATGGCTTAGACAATACACAGGAGAAAAACACGAAACACAATCATACTAATACAAGCAGAAATACAGAACATATGAAGCAAAACCAAATTAAATTAAAACTCATCTA